TGTCTATCGTTTTCCAGTTTTGATCACTCTTATACTTATTGTTAAAGCAGAATCAAACATGGTCTTCTTTACAAATTGACTCGAGAGATTGAAGGTGGGAGGAGAAGGGGACGACAGAGGATGAGATGGTTGGATGGCATCACCGATGCGATGGACATGAGTTTGAGCAAGTCCCAGGAGTTGGTGATGGACAGGGGAGCCTGGTGTGCTGCAGTCCATAGGGTCGCAAAGAGTTGGAAACGACTGAGCGACTAAACTGAACTGAGAGAGTTTCCTACCACTAATGATGCACTATCTTGCACTATCTTAAATAACCTGTACTCACAAGATAAGTAAATAAAACCACTATGTTATGTGGATGTCTATGGTAATAATGTTGTCGTAGAAAATCATGTGTATGACCTCAGAATATTCTCCTAGAAATTATAGAAAAATGAAGTTCATGTATGCTACTATCAACAAATTTCATGCAATTGTCTATTTTCAGTTCTTTCTCATCACATGGATCTTTTCCCATTGAAAGATAAGAATGGGTTAGACAGGTGAGCCTCAAAATCTTTTTTCCTAAGGGGAAAACCATAAAAGAAAAAAAAAAATCTGACCACTGCTTTCCACTTGTTTTCTACGAGGAAACTGTTTTTGACTCGAGCCTTCTGTTTTTTTAATTGGGAACACTTTGTCAAGAATCTATCTTAGTACACTTGAAACTAATATAACTTCAATTATATCTCAATTAAGAAAACTTTTATGTGAGTGCAGAGTTTTAGAGTAGCATTTATTGAAAATTGTTAACCCTCATTAACAGAATTCTAAACTAAAACCCTTTTGGTCAATATAGCCATCACACAGTCACAGCTAGTACAGTAAATTTGAAGAAATACATATGTTTAAAGACATAATTCTGCTTAAAATTTCTTCTATAGCACTAATAATTCAATGGGAACTCTCTTCTTACTTTCATGAATAGGGGTCTTATTTGTACATACTGCAAATCATACCATTCGCTTTCCAAACCAGAGACTTGTAAGCAGTCTCTCTCAAATCAGTTAAACCCCTTATTTCATAATGTATGCAATTAATTTATTTTAAGAACATCCTTTATACTAGAAAGCTTCAGCCTAACCTTTAAGTGATACAAATGATATTAATAATCAGAGAAATTAAGAAAAAGCTCCAAAGATGTTCAGGGCAAGCATACTTTTCATAATCACAAACGTGAGTAACACAGTAACGCATCTAACGCACCTTGGTATGTCATTGCATTTATCTTCACAACAATCCTACAAAGGAAGTGACATTAACTCCATGTGACAGATACGGAAGCTGAGGCCCAGGGACTTAGGCAAGATCACGTAGCTCGTGTTCTTTCCATTATTTTACATTGTTGAAAAGTTTCATCTTTAATTAAAAATGGGTGTTGGTTAGGTTTTGTTTCCACATTTCTGGCTAGCATCTAGTAATTATTGATGACTTCTGAACCCACTGTGTCAACATTACAATAACCAAATATCTTCATTGTTTTCTGAGGGAACTCACCTTACTACTCAGCATCACAAACTTGATGGAGAGAAAAGGCTATGGAAAAAGCAGGTTTCTCATGGTTTTCAAAGTAACGCTGCCACCTCGTGGACTACCAGTGAGCTAGTGGTTCTAATGCATGGTTTAAGTTCCACCTGATTAAAATTCTGAATGGGCAATAAGGCCAGTTTCCAGAAACATTTTACATTGCAGCTCTCAGAAAATACAACCACTTCATCTTGTACACAGTAACCACACTGCTGTTTTCATGTGAACTGCCCAAACTGGATCCAATAAGCATTCCTTCATGCCATTCAGTTATTCAGCACATTTACTAAGCACCAACTAGGAATCGTGGATAAAGTCAAGAATACAAAGATGAATAAAGACATATTCCATGTTTCTAGAATATTCCTGCAGTGGATGAAACTAGGTACTCTTCAACCAGACTGTCCAAGTTCAAATCCCAGATCTGGCACAAACCAGCTGTGTGGTTTTAGACAAGTCACCTAAACTTACTGTGCCCCTTCAGTGTCACCATGTGTAGAGTGGGAATAAGAGCAGCCCTTGCCCCTAATAAGGTTAAGTATCTTATTTATCCTAAGGGGCTTCCCTGGTGGATCAGAAGGTAAAGAATCTGCCTACAACGCAGGAGACCCCGGTTTGATCCCTGGGTCGGGAAGATCCCCTGAAGGAAATGGCAACCCACTCCAGTATTCGCGCCTGACGAATTCCATGGACAAGAGAAGTCTGACGGGCTACTGTCCACGGGGTGGACAGGAGTCAGACATGACTGAGCGACTTTTACTCACCCTCACTCAACCTATGGAATACAAAGTGCTGGGGAGGAAAGAAGGTCTTCAAGGAACACATTTTGCCAGTGATTCTGGTGGGTGGAGCTTGACTGAAAGCTGGGTAGCGCCTCCTTAGATGATCTAAGATGAGCAGCAGGGATGAAAAGTTACTTTGCAGTGGGAAGACAAAGACTTACACTCTAGAATTAGGGTAATTCACATCAATTTATCCCAGTATACACACCTCAAAATGCACAAGAACTTACGAAAAAGCCTACTCAACACGTAACTGTAAGAATGGAGTCTAAATGCCCATCGAGGGAGGACTGGCTAAACTGATTACGGCCCATCTTGTTCAGCGAGATAGGGCAGGATAAAGAAAAGGATCAAGCAGAGCTCTGTGTACTAAGTTGGTGGATTCTCTGACACACAGTAAGTGGAAGTGAAATGCAGAGCAACAAGTATAACGTACTCCCATTTGTTTAGCGTTGGGGGTGTATGTGTGTGTTTTAGTCGCTCAATTGTGTCCGACTCTTTCCCAGCCATGGACTGGAGCCCGCCAGGCCCCTCTGTCCATGGGATTCTCCAGGCAAGAATACTGGAGTGGGTTGTCATTCCCTTCTACTGGGGATCTTCCCGAGCCAGGNGCTCAGCTTTCTTCACAGTCCAACTCTCACATCCATACATGACCACTGGAAAAACCATAGCCTTGACTAGATGGACCTTTGTTGACAAAGTAATGTCTCTGCTTTTTAACATGCTATCTAGGTTGGTCATAACTTTCCTTCCAAGGAGTAAGTGTCTTTTAATTTCATGGCTGCAATCACCATCTGCGGTGATTTTGGAGCCCAAAAAAATAAAGTCTGACACTGTTTCCACTGTCTCCCCAACTATTTCCCATGAAGTGATGGGACCAGATACCATGATCTTAGTTTTCTGAATGTTGAGCTTTAAGGCAACTTTTTCGCTCTCCTTCACTGTCATCAAGAGGCTTTTTAGTTCCTCTTCACTTTCTGCCATAAGGGTGGTGTCATCTGCGTATCTGAGGTTATTGATATTTCTCCCGGCAATCTTGATTCCCGCTTGTGCTTCTTCCAGCCCAGCGTTTCTCATGATGCACTCTGCATATGTTAAATAAGCAGGATGCAGGATCAGGTGCCACTAATCAGATACACTCACACGAGATGTGAAGGCGGGAGGCAGAGGGGGCCAGCTTCCTCTGTGGTCCTGAGTGCTGCTGATGCTGTCCCCTCAGCCCTCACACAGCTGTCCTAACAGGTAGGGCAGGTGAGCCTCAGTGCTTCTGGACCATGCTCCCCTATTCCTCCCCAAGAAAACCTCTTCTTAAACTTTCACGTCATTTGACTACATATGTAATACTCCACTTTATTGTTCATCAATAAGGGCCACTCTCTATTGATTCTTTTTTTAAAGATTTATTTTTTGGCTGCGCTGGGTCTTCACCGCTACACATGGGCTATCTCAAGTTGTGGCGAGCGGGCTTCTCCTGTTGCAGAGCCCCAGGGTGTGCAGGCTTCAGGAGCTGTGGTGCACCGGCTTCTGTCCCCTGCACTGGCAGGATTTCCAACCACTGGGCCACCAGGGACGTCTTCCCCATAGATTTTTCACCACTGTAGCTTCTCGCTTGCTGTCTCTCTGACGTTATTCTTGGCTTTATTCTGTCATAATTCTTGGCTTGTTCACCAGCATATTTCATGTCTCCATCTCACTACCTTTAATACACAAACCAACTCATCTCCACACACACCAACAGTCCATCAACCCGGGTATTCTCACTCCCTCGTGACCTCATTTCCTTACTTACCCAGCTGTGACTCCGCGGTGCACTGTGCACGGCTTTCATGTCACAGCAATGCCCTTGTCCCTTTCTTAATTACCCTGCACTCACTGATGAAACCTCCGCTGTTGATTAAGTCCATACCTCAGCCTACCCCACATCTGCATCCTCAGAGCCAAACGTGACTAGAGAAAAACAGTCATGCTGACTGGGCTTGCTTGAAGTCCGTAACACTTCCCGCACATGGGCCTGAGCTTTGCTGGTAATGCTACTTCCCTCTCTAGTACTTTTATTCCCCCAACAATAATAACAGCAAACAACAGAAATATTCTAGGTACTTTTATAGGCATTAACTCAATTCTCACAGCCACTTTCTGTGGTTGTGTCTAATTAACAGATGAAGAAAATGAAATACAAAGTGGTAAAATAACTTGCCCAAAGTCATACAGTCACACAGTCAGCGAGTGCCGAGCCAGGATTCACACTCAGGCAGACAGGCTCCGAAGTGTGAGCTCTTGCCCTCTCTCATATCTACTCTGTGTTCTTTTCAAACTTTCAACACCTCTGATCTTCTCCAACCAGTTTCAGTTGGTTATTTTTTTCCAATAAAGGAACTCATTAAAGAACTTCCACAAACCACCATCATCACCTCTACACATAATTGCATCTGTGTCATATCTCTGTCCTTCCCGAACAATGCCCCAACTATTCACACACTGTCTAAGCCAACCCTTCCCTTCGGGCACTCAGACCCGCGCCTCCTCCCAAGGACACTGACCCAGCCGTTGGCATCCCTCTCCTATAATCCTCAGTTTCCCCTTCTCTACAAAGGGATTATCCCCACGAGCATACACTGTCATTCCATTCAGAAAATTACTATATTTTAACAATCATTTTAAATGAGACTTTTAATTAATGTTTGATAGAGCTGATTTAAGTTGAACAGACTAAATTTCTTTAAACAAACTTACTTTTACCCCAGAGTCCTTTAAACAGCTTAATAGCATTTATACATTGAAGGTATTTGATTTTCTTGTAAATAGCACTTCAAATGCAACAAGCATTTGAAGAAACAAGCATTTGACCCAACAAGCAAAACTTTCCATAGTACATAACTTTTATAAATAAAATAAATGTACAGTGAATAAGTTCTCTGAAATACTGCAATATTTCTGCAGGTTTAATAACATCTTAAAATACATTTCAACTAAAATTCACAAATCTAAAAACCTGTTAGGCATTTTTAGGCATTTTGAGTTGGAAATGAAGGCCCAATGTTACACTGTAATATGCCAATTACAAATACTACTTCAAATAGCAAATACTACAGTTTGTCCCAAACTTTAAAAACTATTCATGAACTTAACACTGAACTACTGATCGTTATGGGAATTGTTTCCTAGCCTTTTTGAAAATTTATAATTATTACATATCTCATCTAAAAAATGGCAGCACTCTGGTGAAGTTGTGTTAAAGGGAATGAGTGGTTTTGGCCCCAGCAAGCAGGCCAGTTCACAGTGCTGGGATGAGGAACTCAAGCTTGAGAAATTCAAGGGTGAATTCAATGCTAAATGAGAATACCAACCCTGGATGGTTGTGGTAAGACCCAGATCAAATAATGCATGAGAAAACTCTTCTCAAAAGACTCTTATCTTCCAAAAAAGTTAGTTTTTTGGAAGAACCTCAACCTTTCAGCTTTACTAGTATCCCATTTATCAGTGTATTTATGAAATTTAAAAAAACTTATAAATTAACCCTTCTTTACATGAAGACACAGCTTCTGACCTTGACTAATCTCATAATTACTCAAAGAAGCAAATTCTTGGTTTCTTATAAGCCACTGGGCTTCACAATGGCTTAAATCAATTCATGAAGGGAAATCCAGACTCTCTGAGCATACATCCTTATCAGAACATAGGAATATTTCTTTCTGCTTTAAAAATACACATATAAATTAACAGAACTGAATGTGAATTTAAGAGAAGACTGCAGTTACAAAATCTGCCTTTAATTAAGGATTCTTCTAGCCTAAGACCTATTTCCTTACACATAGTTAACTACTTCAGGAACTGGGGGAAGGTGGAAAAGGGACCAAGTATAGAATCAGTGTGCTAGAAATCAATAGTCAGTGACTATCCATCAGGAATTGATACATCCCAGAAAGTCAGGAAGAAAATAAAGAGTCTCTTTATAAAAAATGTTTTTTGTTGAACTTAAAAAAAAAAAGATACAAGGGGTTCTGAAACACAAAATGAAGTTAAGAATAGAGGAGGGAAAAATAACCTAAACACAGGCCAAAGAAAATGGTTTTCAGAGGTAGGTGGCTGCAAGATAAGCTCCAAATACACATTAAAAAAGGCTGAAACGCTATTGGTCACAAGAGAAATGGCAAATTTTATCATTCCCCTGGCCTGAAACAAGCTGAAAAGCTGGTAGAAAGGCTACATACTGAGGGGAAGAGGAAAAATATGGTCCCGAAGGCTTACCTGCAGGCCCTGTTCTGAGCAGCACAGTCAAGATTACGGGAAGGAAAAGAAAACACAGGCTGGTGAGCACAATTTCTAGGTATCAAATCTGCCTCATCACATTCTCTGAATACATGTCAAAGTCGTGTCAAGTATTCAGAGTTGGCCACTAATCTGCCACACCGGCAACAGATACAGTCCAATTACCAGCTGAGATGGAACTTGTGACCTGGGACAAATGATGACAGCAAGGAAATGGGGCACACTCGGCTGGCGCCTGGGGACCCCAAGTGCACTGATTGGAGAATTTACTGGTTGTTGCCATTTGTATTTCCACGATAGAAGGAAAAAATAAAGCCCTGTTCCTTTGGCAGGATTCTTAAGTTGAAACCCTCTCCAGAGTTCTGAACGTCTACTCAAACGCTGAAACAGAACGCAGCTATATTAAAATTAATGTCGACCTGTCCAAGATGGACATACATTATGACCGAAACTGAGATCTCTTCCAGCTGAAGATGCCACGAAATAATTCAAAGCAGAACATGGAAAACCATGTTTAAAAACAGTTTCTTATTTTCCAAGCATAGTCATTCCAGTCTCTTCTATAAAATTGCTTCTGCAAATAGATTTTTGTAATGTATCAGAAATTCTCTTCCCAATAGTTAATAGCATCAAATCTATTCCATGTTAGGCGTTCTTACGTTTCCTGTTAAGCAGACACTATGATTCAACCTTACTGTTCTCTAAAAATCCATCAGATGTATCATGCTGCAACACAGTTTCTTTCCTTGTCATGGTAGCAAAAAGCATATCCATCATCCCCAAAGTTTCCAGCAGTTCTCTTTGGTAATCAATCTCTTTTTCTACTAGTCCTTGAAGTATCAAAAACTTTTTATCAACTACAGGTGACTGACCAATCACAGGTAGATATATATCTAGAAAGAGAGGAAACATTCACTATAAACATCTTTCTAAACAAAATGTGAACAGCAGAATTTAGAAAAAGTACAAAAATATTAAATATAAAAGACACTGAAAAATCTGTACTTGTACAATTTGTTTTATATAAACAATCCATCTGAATAAATGTATTTCAGAGAGAAATAATTAATTCCGACTTATTTTTCATTTTCTCATTAAAAATTAGTCATGCTCATTGTAGGTATTTAAAGAAAAAAACTTTTTAAATTATAATAACCCTAGTGCCAGCAATTGAAAGCCAATCCATTGTAAACATTTTACTCTATTTTAAAATGCACTGATTTACTATTATTGTTTTCTCCATGAAATCTTTGCTGGAGACTTGATAACAACAAGGTATTTCTATCTATTTGATTTCATTATCTGACACCTCTACTTCTTCAAGCATGCTAGAATTTTAGCAACTACTTACCAATAATTATTTCAGCAGCATTAATCAAAACAGGGGCAAATCTTGGCTGAGACAGGTTCCTACAAAGCAAAAATTCTGTTTACTGAAACCTGCAAACTTTAAAAAAAACCTTAAAACAGATTTACTAAACTGTTCTGTCAGGTCTCTACAAACCTCAAACTAAAAGTAAATTTGGAAATAAAATTTCAGATGCAAAATACATGCATTTCAGAGACATAAAACATACCTTATCAAAAAATTAAGAACACGACTGATTTCCTTTTCATCTCGACCTGCAAGGGCGTTTGCAAGGACTCCTCTTCGATTTAGCTCCTTTATGATGGAAACTGTAATCTCGGGCGTCTTTATTGTACAAGTGGGCTAGAAAATTTTTCAGAGTCAACATGAGCAGCACAAGAAAAGAGTCACAGTCTTAGTACTCACTAATAATTACCAAATTTAAATGGTTTTTTTTTCCTTCCCAGTTTAGAGTCATGGCAAGAAACAAAATAATTCTTTTAAAAATAAACTCAATGAAAAGAAAAAAAAAAAACCTCAATGTTACATGGCAGCCTGGATGGGAGGGGAACTTGAGAAAGAATGGATACATTTATAGCTGAATGGATACATGAACAGTTGAGTGCCTTCACTCTACCTGAAACTATCACAACACTGTTAACTGGCTATACCCCAATACAAAATAAAAAGTTTAAAATAAAAAATAACTTTTTTAAGTTCCAGAATTCGCTGGTGGCCTGGTGGTTGAGAATTTGCCTGCCAGTTCAGGGAACTCAGATTCAATCCCTGGCCTGGGATGATTTCACATGCCACAGGGCACTATAAGCCCATGCGCTGCAACTACTGAAGCCCGGCACTTTCATGTTCATCAGTTCAGTTCAGTAGCTCAGTTGTGTCCAACACCATGGACTGTAGCACATTAGGTTTCCTGTCCATCACCAACTCCCAGAGCTTGCTCAAACTCATGTCCATCAAGTCAGTGATGCCATCCAACCATCTCATTCTCTGTTGTCCCCTTCTACTCCTGCCCTCAATCTATCCCAGCAACAGGGTCTTTTTAAATGAGTTAGTTCTTCACATCAGGTGGCCTAAGTATTGGAGCTTCAGCTTCAGCATCAATCCTTCCAATGAATATTCAGGACTGATTTCCTTTCGGATTGACTGGTTGGATCTCCTTGCAGTTCAAGGGACTCTCGAGTCTTCTCCAACACCACAGTTCAAAAGCATTAATTCTTCAGTGCTCAGCTTTCTTTATGGTCCAACTCTCACATCCATACATAACTACTGGAAAAACCATAACTTTGACTAGACGGACCTTTGTCTACAAAGTAATGTCTCCGCTTTTTAATATGCTGTCTAGGGTGGTCATAGCTTTTCTTCCAAGAAGCAAGTGTCTTTTCATTTCATGGCTGCAATCACCATCTGCAGTGATTTTGGAGCCCAAGAAAATCAAGTCTGTCACTGTTTCCCCACCTATTTGCCATGAAGTGATCGGACTGGACGCCATCCAATTTGGAACCGGCTGGTTCCACGTTGGGAAAGAAGTACATCAAGCCTAGAGTCCATGCGCCACAACAAAAGGAGCCACCACGAGACGCCCGTGACCGTAACGAGAGAAGACCTCACTTGTCACCAACTAAAGCAAGCCCACACAGCAACGAAGACCCACTGCAGCTAAAACTAAATTTAAAAAATTAAAACGAATGTCCTCGTAGGTTCATCAGTTGCAACAAATGAACCCCACAGGCTATGCATGTGTGGGGCAGATGGCAGATGGGAAAGCTCTGTACCTCCCTTCAATTACGCTGTGAACCTAAAACTGCTCTTAAAAGAAAGTCTTTATAAAAAAAAAAAATCACACGCACTTTACTCACTTACCTCAAGGACTCTGTCAAGTGCCTTAGAGATCCGGAAGTTTTTCAGATCCCTGTCATACAATTCTAGGTGTTTCTTTGATGGCCTGTTGATCAAAATGTCATCCTGCATTGAAAAGTAAATTTACAAAGAAAAATCAATATCCAAATAGAGTTTTATTTGAAATAATCATAGCTTCACAGTGTCCTTCAACTCTATCATAAATAAGGGTCACAAGCCCATGAAGTCAAGCAAATAAAAACAGAATAATCTGCCACATCACCATGCTCTTAGTGCCCTGTGATTTTAACTTAGGATCCACACACAACATCCCATCCTGCACAGACACTGCTCACTGCAGTTCTCTTTACACAGCAAGCAGTGACTCAGTAGAAAGAGAAAACAGGAATCTGAACCACCACCTAGTCCCAGTAAAGAAATCCTGGATCAATCACAACTTCTTTGTATCTCCATCTTCTCAGATGCCAAATGGAGATATTAGTGGCTCTACTCTTTTTCAGGGTTATTTAGAAGATTAAACCAGCCAGTGTGTTAAAGACACTGTTCTGAGCACAATAACATTGCTATGATTCAGGGCATTAAGAAGTATCATTAGACAGTTTCTTCAACAAATGGTTTCAGGAAAACCGGACAGTTACATTCCCATTAGTTATTAATGTTCCTAATCCAGCAATCTGGAGATAAATATGAAGTAGAGAAAAGTAAAATGAAGCTAAAAATGAAGCTAACTGCCAGGTGAACTACACTTTTTCAGGAATGTGCAGGGATGAAGCTGGCTACTCTAACAACTTTCATCTTTAAAAAATATATATGAAATATACAAATACCTGTTGTTTCATATAATTTTTCCCCTTAATAAAAGTTCGATATGCAGGCCTTCTTCTCCTGGGCACAGAATCCTTCTTTGCTTCAGATTTCCGATGTTTAACACTCAATATTCCATTGGTCATTCCTACAACTATTGTCTCATCTTCATGCTAACAGCAATTAGAAAAGTAAGTTAGTGCATTAGGAACTCATAATTCACCTTGCTTTTTCTTCCAAATAACATTTATTATGTGTTTGCCACTTGATTGTACTTTCATCAAGAGTTCCATTAAGATACTGATTCTCTGCCTAACAGTGACTGACCTATGGGAAAAGTTAAAGTAAAATCATTTTTATTCCTCCAAGATACTACTGTTTGACAGGATCTGCTGGAGAAGGGATAGGCTACCCACTCCAGTATGCTCAGGCTTCCCTTTGTGGCTCAGCTGGTCAAGAATCCACCTGCAATGAGGGAGACCTGGGTTCCATCCCTGAGTTGGGAAGATCCCCTGGAGAAGGGAAAGGCAACCACTGCAGTATTCTGGCCTGGAGAATTCCGTGGACTGTATAGTCCATGGGGTCACAAAGAGTCAGACACCACTGACATATTTTCACTTTTTTAATTATACTTGGAAATTATCACTGCCAGTTGGTATAATAATACGCAGTTAATAACATCTTGGGAAATATTTCCAAAATAATTTTTCCCCTACCCTCCTCCCAGAAAAGAATGATGTGGTGGCATGCGTGTGTGCATCCATGTTAAGTTGCTTCAGTCATGTCCAACTCTTTTGTGACCCTATGGACTGAAGCCCGCCAGGCTCCTCTGTCCCCAGGATTCTCCTGGCAAGAATACTGGAGTGGGTTGCCATGACCTCCTCCAAGGGATCTTCCCAACCCAGGGATTGAACCCACGTCTCCTACATCTCCTGCACCAGTGGGTGTGTTCTTTCCCACGAGTGCCACCAGGGAAGCCCCAGTGGTGGCACGACTTTCCAAAATCTTGTCAAGAAAACACTTTATGACTCTTTTCCACTCCCAGTTCAGATTTCTATATAAGGTGTCCAAATCTATTCCTCCTCCTCAATAGCTCATAAAACGTGACACTAAACACTCCAGAAAGAGCAGTTAACAGAGAAAAGGAGACATTTCATTTTGTTGCCCCTTGGTCTCCCCCCGCCGCCTTTCTTTTTGGCTTAGAGAGCCAACGTGACTTTTTGGAGTGTTTAACCCTTGAGTTAAGTGTGCTGAAGAGAGATTTATCTACTTTCCAGGTCCTGCCCTTAGTGCTGACAATGCCTACACAACACTACAGTTAGTTTGAGTTGTTCAATGAGTGGGACCTAAATCTGAATTCATGCTTAGTTACTGAGACAACTCATACATTCCAGCAATTATCTTAACCCAATTATCTAATGTGACAAGAAGAAAATAATACTTATTCAAATACAAAGATAAACCCTAATACTTCATGTTAGTTTCATTTAACAGGCAAGGTTAGTCGAAGTTTAAAAAAAAAAAGAGCTAAAAGTACTTACTGCAAGTGCAAGACTCAAAATTGAAGCTGTATAATCAAAACTGTGGACTACTTTGTAGGAAGTTGTGCTATATACTTTCACCTTCCTAACCAAAAAAGAAAAAAAGGGCTGTGTCACAAAGCATCTTAGAAATGAGTATAAAAAATTACTATTTTTTAAAATTCAATACATGAATATTAAAACATATAACAATGAAGAAAAATGACTAGTAATATTAGTTACAAAGTAATTTATCACTGAATCTCTTTTAAAAATGAACTCTTTTTTTTTGTTTGCATAAAGACTTCAACCAGCCACCAGAAGAATGGACCACTGTCTCCTGAAGATGAAACCTGAAACTAAAGAAATGGCATCCAAGTCCATCGAAGTCAAAGAGTAGGGTTTCTCCGCTGCATTCGCCGTTACTGACGCTGTGGGCAGGATGATTCTCCGTCATGGTGGCTGTCCCTACACTGCAGGGCGTTCAGGAGCATTCTTCCTCTTCCCCCTACATACCAAGAACACTCCACCCCCAGGTTGTGACGATAACCAAAAATGTCCACAGAAAGTCACTCTGGGTTGAGAACCACTATGAACAGAGCTAATATTACCAATAGCTTTTGAAGGACACATCTAAAAATCAAGTCCCAAATTGCCTAGTAATACCGCTGCAGGAAATCTGCTTTATATTTACACACCAAGTTCCTCTGTATCAGAAGTATTTTCTAGATTTTAAAATATGTATACTTTTTAATAAATATGCTGAAAAACCAAGGCTTTACATAACAATGAAAAAAGAAATATGGAAATAAAAGGAGCAACAACAGATAAATGAAAGTAAATTCTAGAACTGGGTCATCACTCTAGCCACATGCGGCTAATGAGCACTTTAAATGTGGACAGTGAAAAAGAAGTGAATTTATTTTACTTAATTTTAAAACTGAGGCAGTATAAAAATATTTTTCTATTAAATACAACTATATTTCACTTTAATCATAAAGTATTATTATTGTATCATTGGGCATGTATATAAGGCTGAACTTGTTTCTGGTCTATCATTAATAATTTTTATGCTGATTACATACTAAAATAATATTTTAGAGTAAATATTATTATTAAATTAATTTTACCTTTTAAACATGGCTGGCAAAACTGAAAATTACATATGTAACTCACACTGTGTTTCTGTTATACAGCACTGTTATGGTACATTAACTAATAAAACACTAATACCTACTGAAAATAGTAATATTTAGAAATATGTAATTTCTATACATTAACACATAGAAATTTTTACATGAAATTTTAAATTTTAAAGGATATAAGCTAGAATATATATACACATACACATAAATATTTCAAAATATACAATAATGATTTTAAAAGAAAACTACAGAATAACAAATTATTTTAAAAGAACATTCAAATGATTCAATAAATTCCTTAAGTATATTAATTAAAGCAAAAAATTATATCAAGGGAGAAAATAAGCTTGCTTTGTATAAATGTAAGGTCAAAACTATTTTCAACTCAACAGATTTTTTCATGGAAATCATCTGGCAGCATATTGATGCTATCACCAAGTTGTGCAGAAATAACATTTCTTCAAGCAGTAGATATATGCACACTAAGAATGATTAAGAAAGAAAATTAAAATGCTAACCTATCCAGTGAGCCAGAGAGTAACCTCTGTCCAGAGCTGCTGAGACATAAACATGTCACAGTTTTATGATGATTTTTCAAAGACACGAGCAACTGTCCTCCTTTTAGCATGTCCCAGACTTTAACATACCGACCTCCTATAAAAAGAAACAATCATTAGTTTAATTTGGAAACAACTGAAAAGCACCATAAAATCATTCTTCAAAGGAATCTTGTGCAAAAATGGGAAAGAATAATGAAGATATAGTTTCCTAAAAATTTTGTGAATCCCAACAAAACTGAAAAACTTCTCTATAACTTTTACTCTAAGAACTGGAAGCATTCTTAAAGGCAATTTAATCCAACGGTTTAAAAAGAAATTTTTTAATACGGCATCTTTTCTTTCAGTGAAGTATTAAGCAAAGGTCTAGCAGGTAAAACAGAAAAAGAGGCTGGGGAGCTAGGGGTGGGTAGGGACAAAGTTCTTACTTATCCTGACTGTGAAAAAGGGCCTGGAGCCCAATTCTCAGTCCCTGTCTCCCCAGACCACAGTTTGAAACCACTGACCTCATCCCACTAGTGGTCAAAGGCGGACCTCTCATTTTCAAGGTCTATCTATACTGGTTAAGGGATTGCCCAAAGGTCACACAATAATTAGTGACAGACAGAGGTCAGTATATCCGTTCTCTCTGTTCAACTTGCACATACTTCCATTTCTCAAAATAACAGAAAGAAAAACAGAAACTCTGAGAATATTATCAACTTATTTTGAAATCAAATAGGTACTGGGGAAAGGAGTATAAAATGGATAACTTCTATTTGGATTTCAGAATTAAGCAAAAAAACAAAGCAAAGCTATACACTACCTATGTATTCTTCTAATGCCAACACACGAATTTTGACTTAACAAATGAAAAAAGCCAGTTTACTACTTCCATTATAAATCTGAAAATGCACTATGAACAAAAATGAAAAAAACACCTCAGTTTCAACTTGACGAAAAATACATGGAGGCCACCCTGAGTCCACGATGCCTCCTCCTCCAGCACCATCAGTTTTTTGCTGGGCAAGGCCATTTCAACCAAGAGTCACACAGAAAGAGAAGCCTAATTCTAGGTCTGAAAGAACCTGAGTTTTCAAAAGCAGCTACACATCTTGTATGTAGCAGCAGCAGCAGGAGTCTGCCCTGGATTTCTGGGTAAGTACACAACACAGGCTCTCCAATTCTGAGATTGCTGATTTGCCACTTACCACTTTCTCTTGGACAAATTACTTAAAACTTTGTCTTTATTTTGTAAAACAGAGAAAACTATCTTTTAAGCACATCTAGGGGACTGGAGATAATACGTTTATAAAAGCACAGTGCCTGGCTCATAGGAGGTACTCAGGAAATAAAAACTGCTTACCTATCCCACTTATCAACTGTCTGAGCAAAAAACTAAAAGTGCGATTCAAGGGCACACTGACAAAGACACACCTGACTTGAGACAAACAATACTGGTGAAACAATTTTTAAAAGAAATACCTGCTGATACCAGAAGACCTCCAGAGGGAAAAAGCAGGACACTCTCCACTGGCTGTCCATGCTCAGCAGAGATAACACTCTGGTTTGTCCGTGCATCAAACATCTTCACAGTGTGATCATATGACCCTAAAACAAAAACGTGTCTCTGTGTGCATATTCAAACAAAACTTTTAAAAGGAGAAAAGGCTTAGATGAAATTCTAAAAAGACATATGCATACTCAAGAAGATACAGTACTTCTAAACCCTCTGTTACCACTGTCTGTTTCTGAAACACTGACCTACATGGAACCTTAAACTATTCCTACCTTCAGACGACTGAATCATTTGGGGGCTTTCCCCGGCCCCCCTTGAGGCTGGACCGGCTTTCCTTTTGTTTCTTGCCACTGGGGAACCTCTGAACACCAGAGCACGATGTTTCAAATCACATGTGGAGAACAATTAAGAACAATCCCCCAAAGAAGAACAAGAAAATAAGACAACAGGAGAAACACATACATATTTCTTTGAAAAAGAATCCCAAAGAAACATCCAAGTATATCAATAAAATTACCAACTTCAAGAGAGAAGAAAAAGATTTCACTAACCTGTGACAAAGAGATCTGGGTTCAGTTTGCTAGCACATCCACACCTCACATAATCAGAATGTTCTTTGAATGTCAGAATTTCTTTGGAGTTTGGAATATCCCATAATTTAACTGTATAATCATCAGCCCCAGAAACCACATGGTATTTGTCAGCTGTAAAATCTACTAAATGAACTGCTCTGAAAAATCAAGAATCAATGTATCAAAAAGCAAGAAAAAATTATTTCTGGTATCTTCTAACATCCAAAATAACAAGAAAAGCAGCTCATTTTCAGTAAGTAATTGTAGAGCGGAATCATGAGAGAAAAAGAAAATCTTAAAAATCTTTAAAACAGATGTTTATCCTCAAGCCAATTTAAAATGGATATATCCCTGGTACTATGAAGTTAATAAAAATACTGAACAATGGCCTTAAAATTATATTTTCTAACACGTTAACATTTCTACTTTGCTGCTCAGTGGGATGTTCTAAACGTTGGCACAAAGGTACTTTAATTTAAAAATTTTTAAATGGGTAGTTCCTAAAAAATTCTAAGGAGACATGCAGGATCATGTTCCATGAACTTGCTATATTTAAAAGTTTCACTGATGAACTAAGCCTATCCTGATAATATACTATTAAAAAAACACTTCTGAGATTTAAAATCAACAGTAAATTTCAGCAATGACATTGGTAATCCTGAAACAAAGTTATAAAACTGCCTTTGGCTGTTTAATTTATAAAGAAGCAAAACACCAACTACAAGTAGAAAAAAAAATCCCACCTTCCAACTTGATTTCAAAAAAAACAAACTCCAATACAATCCAGGCCTCTTGAGTTCTCCATAAGAGTTGTGAGGTTGCCTTTAGAACCTCAATGGGGTCACAAAACTCACTGAGAAGTTAATGAAAGCTACAGGACGTCTACACAGAGAAACACACATTTCCTAAAATGTCGCAAAAAATTCTAGGGAATTCATGAGCCCCATCAAGCTGGACCATAGGACTGAACCAAGTTATGCACGCTGTCTTAGAACAATCAGGAAATAAAAGTCCATAATGGTACATAATCTTCACAGAACTGTTTCTTTCAAAGCCTGTAAAACCAACAGAACTTACAACAAAACAGAAAAGCAACTATCTGTAACTGTACGGTGACAGATATCAAGCAGTTTATTGTGATGATCATTATGCAGGATCATGTTCCATGAACTTGCTATATTTAAAAGTTTCACTGATGAACTAAGCCTATCCTGATAATATACTATTAAAAAAACACTTCTGAGATTTAAAATCAACAGTAAATTTCAGCAATGACATTGGTAATCCTGAAACAAAGTTATAAAACTGCCTTTGGCTGTTTAATTTATAAAGAAGCAAAACACCAACTACAAGTAGAAAAAAAAAATCCCACCTTCCAACTTGATTTCAAAAAAAACAAACTCCAATACAATCCAGGCCTCTTGAGTTCTCCATAAGAGTTGTGAGGTTGCCTTTAGAACCTCAATGGGGTCACAAAACTCACTGAGAAGTTAATGAAAGCTACAGGACGTCTACACAGAGAAACACACATTTCCTAAAATGTCGCAAAAAATTCTAGGGAATTCATGAGCCCCATCAAGCTGGACCATAGGACTGAACCAAGTTATGCACGCTGTCTTAGAACAATCAGGAAATAAAAGTCCATAATGGTACATAATCTTCACAGAACTGTTTCTTTCAAAGCCTGTAAAACCAACAGAACTTACAACAAAACAGAAAAGCAACTATCTGTAACTGTACGGTGACAGATATCAAGCAGTTTATTGTGATGATCATTACACAATATATACAAATATTGAATCATTATGTTGTACACCTGAAACTAATAGAATGTATGCTAATTATACTTGTTTTAATTGAAGTATAATTAGCATACATTCTATTAGTTTCAGGTGTACAACATAATGATTCAGTATTTGTATATAAAAACAAAACAAAACAACATCTGTCTCTTACTTAGTATGGCCTTCAAACTGCCTGAGGGGAGCCCTCCCGCTTATATCAAAAAGCTGAACACCACCGTCTTCACTGCCAGCCACAAGGAGTCTACCATCCTGTCGAAAAGTAGCACAGTATGCTGTGTCTTTAAATCGTGAAAAGGTTTTTATAGGTTCTTGGGAGTATCGGCCATAAATGTGAATCTACAAGAAGATAAAAAACATAGTATTTTACTAGATGGCTCAAGAACAGCAGTAAATATAAACTATATAAAAGAAAAATATTACATTTACCCTTGAAGAAGCTGTGACTGCATAGTTATATGGAGGCTGGGGAGAAAAGTCTACTTTTGACACTGCACCAAACTCCTTGATCTGAACAGGCGTCTTAATAAAAAATAACAGAGTATTAACAGAGTTACAACCATGCAGGCTACTTTGTACCTTGCCTTTTTTTCACTAACACATTTTAGCTAACTTTTCATATGAGCAATAGCTTTACCATCCATTATAAGATATATCATAATTTACTTTACCAGTCCACTACTAACAAACAGGTTTTTCTGAGATTTCTAATATTACAGAAATTTCAATGAGCATCTTTACACATAAGGATAACATACACAAATTTTGGAGAGTATATTCACTGATTAAGTTCCAAGCTATGTAATTTACAAGACTACAAGTTATTTTTATTGTAAGACATAATGCCAGAATTGCCCTCTTATTTCAATGAACATCTTTACACATAAGGATAACATACCCAAATTTTGGAGAGTATATTCACTGATTAAGTTCCAAGCTATGTAATTTACAAGACTACAAGTTATTTTTATTGTAAGACATAATGCCAGAATTGCCCTCTAGAAAGTTTGCGCCAATTTTCCCTACCTCAAGTAGCAATGATCATCAAAATTTTTCATTTGTGCCAACATAATACATGAAAAGGTATCTAAATTATTATCCAATAATTATTCAGTTATTGTTTTAATTTGCATTTATTCAATTATGAGTGAAGCTGGAGCTCTTTTAATACATTTATTGGCCACTTAAATTTCTTTTTCTATAAACCTCCCAATCCCAACCTTTTTCCATTTCTCTATTAAGTCAATCGTCTTTTTTATAAAGAAAGATCATTTCATTAGCTTTTGCAGATAACACAGAATTCATTTTACATCTCTTCCTCCTGAGATTAAGGAAAAACAATTTTTTAAAAACCTTCTTTCATATGAGATTCAAGTTCTAAAATTTAATTCACTTGAACTGATTAATCATCTATTCTGTGTTAGATACCTGTATTATTAAACTGATTAAGGAATACGGATATTTATATAACTCCAAGAAAAAAAAACCAGACATCAAATTTTCCACCCAAACTATAAGCTGCTGACAGATTATTTTTAGTTATTAATTCTTTACTAGCATATCCAAAGTATAACAAATGCTGGAAAAATTGGCATTAAGTGCAAAACAGCCCCCCCTTAATTTTGTCTACACTTACCTTATAGTTGTTCCAGTACAGTGTATCTTGGGTGATTTTTTCACCAAGTATAGGATATGTCTGGATTGCTACAGGCTTATAACCAGCCATACTTTCATATAATTGCAGTTATCCAAGGGTAACTAGTTTGAAACTGGTGTTAGAAATAATTAAAGTGACTGTCTTACGCCTGAAAAAGAAAATATTTTATATACACATTACTACTATTCATAAATCTATATATAGTCATGATTCTCACTCTGTCTTTTCTAAAGGTTGTGTGGTAGCTTACAGATTAGTGATCAGTAACCATTTAATCTTAACACAGAAAAGACAATCTAAAGAAAGCAAGAAGAAAACAGATAGGGCTACCATAGTGTACCATCTGCTCAGTTATACGCAGAGACTACACACAAATGTTCCCACACCTAACTGACCAATTTACAACATTTGGGAATAAATCTGGCTCAGCCATCCAGTTGCCAAAGCAGAGAGAAACACACTGGCTTGGAACGCTCATTTATTAACAACAGAAAATGTTAATATGGAACTGCAAATACAAATGCTTCCTAAAATTAAACTTAAGACAACATTTAATCTCTAAGAACCTAGTCTAGGGACCTAGGGCTTCCCTGGTGGCTCAGAGGGTAAAGCGTCTGCCTACAATGTGGGAGACCCGGGTTCAATCCCTGGGTCAGGAAGATCCCATGGAGAAGAAAACGGCAACCCACTCCAGTATTCTTGCCTGGAAAATCCCATGGACAGAGAAGCCTGGTAGGCCACAGTCCATCGCAAAGAGTTGGACACGACTGAGCAACTTTACTTCACTAGGGACCTGACTTCCTGAAAGCCTAAAACTGCCAAGAAGAAAGCAGAGCTGATATTTTAACGTAAAGAATAAAATTAAATTTAAAAGCTTAAAATATAAGTCTAATATTCTGATGTAAAAGATTAAAATTAAGTTAGCTGATTTTAAAAGGCTTAAACATAAGAAAGAAAACAAGAATAAAACAATTCTGAAATGAAATTCTAAATTAAAGTGACAGAAAAAAGATTAATTAAAGCTTTTATAATTCCACATTTGTTTTATTAAGTTCAGTTCAGTTCAGTTTCTCAGTCATGTCCGACTTTTTGCGNGTTTACTCAAACTCATGTCCATCGAGTCGCTGATGCCATCCAGCCATCTCCTCCTCTGTCGTCCCCTTCTCCTCCTGCCCCCAATCCCTCCCAGCATCAGGGTCTTTTCCAATGAGTCAACTCTTCGCATGAGGTAGCCAAAGTATTGGAGCTTCAGCTTCAGCATAAATCTAAGGTTTAAAACATAACTTTTCACAAACGAAGAGTGTTTCTTTGCACAAACTTCTTCACATACCATAGGATCTTTACAATATCTTTACCTAAATGTTTTACAATGTTGTGCTAGTTTCTGCCACACAACAACTAATTAAAACTTTTAACTGACATGTAATTAAGTTGATATGTCTTTCCAGAACCATTTAATTCCAACAAGGGAATGATTCAGTGGAGCAATTCATATATTCTGGAAAGTCTGAAAACACTGTATCAGTAACACCAAAATACACAGGTGCAACATATTTTAAAGGCTTTGATGAAACATGGCAATCCATTATTTAAAAAAAGGAAACTTTTCTTTCCACTGAAGTACCTACAAAGTAACACATTGTTTTAGGCACTGGGGTGCAATGTTGAGTGAAACAGACATGGTCAGTGCCTTCATATACTCTGAGACTCTTCAATTCAGCTGGTCATTAACACCAGCTGGGAGTCTGGAATCAGTCTTAACTTGTCGTTCCTTCTCACTTATAACATATAATATTTACAAGAGCTGCTGATTTTACCTTTCAAATCTTTCTAAACTTCATAATGTCCACACCACCTAGTCAGACTGCTCTAATTCACATCTTCTCAACTACTGAAATAGTGCAATATAAGGTCTCCCTGACTGTCTTGTCTGTCTTCCAAATAGCATCAAAGTTACCAAACTACCATGCAAATCTAGCTTTTGCTACAAAACCCAAAACTGCCCAGAAAAGAAGGTGCAAGCTCCTTCAAACAGAAGGAAGGCCTTCCGTAATCTTGTCCGTGCTTATCTTTCCAGCTTCACTTCTTTTTACTCACTTAACACACATGGTCCTTCTTGTCTCAGTATCTGTCTTCATCTGTCCTCTCTGGCAAGAATGGTCTCTTTCTACCTACCTCCTATTTATCATTTAAAATTCAAGAATCATAACTGAAACTGAACATTTCATGTCTGGAAGACTAAAAACAATTGCTCAATGGGGGCTTCCTTGGCTCAGACAGTAAAGAATCTGCCTGCAATGCAAAAGATGTGGGTTTGATTCCCGGGTCGGGAAGATCCCCTGGAAAAGGGAATGGCTATACCCACTCCAGTGTTCTTGCCTGGAGAATCCCACGGACAGAGCAGCCTGGGGAGCTAAGGCAAGTAGGGTCGCAGCGAGTGAGACACAACTGAAGCGACTTAGCACATATTCATCATCGCCAACACAAATCGCCAACATTCATCTATAAAAAGCATACTTGGCTCACTGAGGACCCCAGAACAGACAGTAGGCCAGATCTAGCCTGTCTGTGGGCCTTAGCCCCTCACTAGAGCAGGGCTGACCCTTGAACAGCACAGTTTTGAATTGTGCGGGTCTGCTTAGAAGCAGATTTTTTTTTTTTTTCAACAGTAATGCCACAGTACTACAGAATTCTGGCTTGTTGAAAGCACAAGAGCCCAGGATGGGAAGGAATCCCATAAATGGAGAGTCCACTGTAAGTTATCCCTCCCAGGGGCCCCTAAAGCTGCCTCACCGCAGTGTTCAAGGGTCAACTATATAAGAGATGGAAAACATAACGCTGCCTTGAAAGAAGTACTTTACAGTCGTTTGCCAGATTAAAGTGAGGAACAGCATCAGGCAGGAGAGGGGAAGCAAGACGGTTCAAAAGCACGGATGCAAGAAATGACGTGAAAATGAACAGGAAGAAAATAATCAGAGAGTGGTAACAGTCTGAAAAAACCGGGACTGAAGGAAAACTAGATACTACATCACAAGGCAGAATACCAAAAGTATGCTATAAGTAACATACAGAAAACACAACGTTCAGACGAGACTTTAACTGGGAGGCTACCAGAAACATTCAAAGCGTGCATTTCAGTTGGGCATTTAATATAATATTAAAACTAATTAACCACTTAATAAGAGCGGGCAATGCAACCTGAAAGAATCACATAAGCAAAGACAGAGATGGAAATTAGCCTACTACTTTGAAAGGATGTGGATTACTCCAGGGACTCATAATGATGGACAGTAGGTGTGGACAGTGACCGCAGAGGAGGAAAATCTAGATCGAAACTAAATTGCGAGGATCCTGAGAGGTTGCTTAAGAAGTTTAGCCACTCCGCGGAGACCGGGAAGCCCTAGGGAAACATGCTAGATACCAAGAAGGGCCTGATGTGAGTCTGGGGTACCCTCGTTGGGAGCCCCCTTTACCTACCTCCGTGGGCCCGGACGGTCCGCCGAGACACCCCAGCGTCAAGGAGAATTTCTTGGACTCCGCCAGTCCCCTTCCTGGACTGTGCAGGAGAACATGCAGAAGATCACGTGGATACTGTAAGAAACCCCTGAAACACGCCGCGAACTGAAGAGCCCGTCGGGTCGCACGAAGGTGACGTCAGAGCGCAGGCTCCCGAGACGCACGCAGCCGGAGTGACGCAGGGGCGGGTCCGGTGGGCGGGGCCATGGTGGAGAAGGAGGTGTGGCCAGAGGGCGAGGCCAAGGCCTGATAGACCCAGAGCCGTGGCTGAAATGACGCTATCTCCGTAGTTACTGGGAACGTAAAGATCCCGCAGCACAGCGGCGGGAAAATACCTGAAAGTCCTCTCGGCTGCAACAACGCTGAACGTTTTTGGCCGGAAACCGAAAGCAGAAATCGGAAGTGACGTCGCTATCAAAACAAGCCGGGGCTTGGTTGGGGCCCTGCAGTGAGTCTGGCCGCAGATGGAGAGGCCCGACTCTCTGTGGGCTGTTGAGCGTGGTCGCCAGGCCCTGCGCCCCCACCCGGGCAGCCTCCAGTCCCTGTTCCCGGGACCAGCCCGCCGCGGTTGAGCCAGAGTTTCCGCCCGCCGTGCCGGAGCCGCGCTGGGATTTTTTTCGGGCAGAGCTGGCGGGTGGCGACAGAGCGAGACTTCCCTCCCTGCCACAGTCTCCCCTCCAGCGGGTTCCTGTCCTGGGACGCCGGGACACCTGTCGCCTGTGAGGCATCATTCATTCTCATAGCACCTTCCTTTCCTCGTAGGGCAACTCCAGGATGAAGAAGAACGGGGGGCCGGGGGTTCCTGACTAGCACCCACTGGGGAATAACCCAGTTGCCCATTTTATTTCGTTAGGGCCACTCTCCCCTTCTCCCTGGGCTCTGACAGGTTGAGGTGATCCTACCTTTACCTCTTTTTTTCTCACCGCCTCCTCTTCTGGATCGTCTCCCCCTGCCCGCCCCTTCTTATACTTCAAAATTACGGCTTAACCGGTCAGTTTTGCCTCTCCTCCTCTCTAGACTGGTGTTAAGATAAGCGTTCTATTTCCACTTGGTTTAGAAAGAATTGGTTTCTTTTGCTTTAGTGCTGCTTTTTATTTTAATGAACGGAGTGATGGGAGTCATGAGCTCCCTGTTTCTCTTCTCTACGGTGGACATTGATTATGATTACCTGCCCTGACTACTCAACGGATTGTTATAAAAATTAAATAAAAACATTAAAAGGATTGTTATAAAAATCTTGGAAGGTGCTTTAAAACTGTAAACAGGGGCTATCTGTAAAATGTGTGATTTGCCAACTTTTGCTCCACTGTGATCCTCTTTTAGTTCCATTTAATTAAAACTTTATTTTTTTTAATTATTTTTAATTACAACTTTAAAACACCCGGCACCCTCAAAATTTCTGAGGCAGTAAGCCTTAATATGATAAAATTGTTTTGTTTAGTCCTTAAGTCCTGTTCCACTCTTTTTGCGACTCCGTGGACCGCAGCCTGCCAGGATCCTCTGTCCATGGGGTTTCTCAAGCAAGAATACTGGAATGGGTTGCCATTTCCTTCTTCCCGACACGGGGATTGAACCCGCATCTCCTGCATTGGCAGGCGAATTTTTTTACCACTGAGCCGCTGGGAAGATTATGAAAAAATTAACTGAATGCTATTTATTTTCTTCCTGTCTCAGTGACTATATATCTAGGACAATTATATATCTTGGAGTTCTTTCTTTAGAAGCAAATTTAGGTACAAAAATGAAATTTCTCTTCAGATTATATATATTAAGGTCCATAGGAAAGTGCTAGTGATTACCTTACTGAAAACTCATTTAAAACAGTGGTGAATGACTCAGTAACAGGTGTGCTTATAACCTGTATTTTGAGAATTCACATTTATTGGGTTTATGTCTTGACAATCAATATTTGGTTAAAAATCATTAACTTTATTTCTTAATACTTATTTCAAAGATTGGGGCCAAAAATTATACTTAAATCTTAATATCCTAGAGATGCTAAAGCAAAGGAAACCAATTCATAATCTATTTTTTATTTTTCATATTAATAAAAACCTGGATTAAGTTGCTAACACTTGATCTGAACAAAAACTGATTGATAAATATGTCTTCAGTTATCAACCAAGACTTTGTAAAGCCTTTCACTACTCAGGAATCAAGGATACTGTAGTTGCTGATACATTTGGGTACAAATAGGTTCTATCTTTTTCTTAAATTCAAACTGAGAGCCAGTTATAAACAACATGTTAAAAAATGAACTCAGAGGTTAATATTTTTTACATGAAAAGTTTATTTTTGTTGTTAGCCTGATTTTTAAAAAATCCTGTTGGTGGTATTCAGTAATAGGAAAGGGACGGTAAGGGTAAGTACAGTTGGTTGGGACCTAGCAATGGAAGTGAAAGTGTTACTGTATTTCATCTGATCTTTGCCAGGATTCTGTGAGATTATTGGTATATCCCCACTTTACAAGTGAGACTGAGGCTTAGAGAGGTTGAGGAACTTAAACAGATTCACATCAGCTAATAAATGGTGAAACGTGGACTCAGACCCAGGTTTTTCTACCTCTGAACATTGTATGCTTTTTATTATCTATCGATGCTTGTAAGAGCACTGTTTATATATGTGATTGAAAATGATTATTTTCTGTACGTTAAGTTGATATATTTTTAATTTTTTTCTTTCAGATGTTTTAATACCCAAATTCAAAGAATACATAGTATATCATTCTTCTCAAACCTAGAGGAAATCATGAAGGAATGTTTTAACTGTTGAAACTCAGTTGAAATCATGGCTACATCAGCAAATCTGGACATTGGAGCGCAGCTGATAGTGGAAGAGTGTCCTAGCAGTTACAGTCTAAGTGGCATGCCAGACATTAAAATAGAACGTCAGCTGGACTCGAGTGCGGAAGAAGGACCGGCTCAGGGTGTTGCCGTGGGGATGAAGTTCATACTGCCTAACCGGTTTGATATGAATGTCTGCTCTCGGTTTGTGAAGTCCTTAAATGAAGAGGACAGTAAAAATATTCAAGATCAGGTTAACTCTGACCTGGAGGTGGCATCTGTCCTATTTAAAGGTTGAAAGTTATGGTATAAATATCTGCATTTGTTTTGTTTTTGTTTGTTTTTTCTTTTCTGTTCATGAAATTTTAGTTTGGGAAGAGAGTTTGGAAGTCACCTTTTAATATGGTTTTCTAGAATCTCACAGAAACCAGAATTAAATAATTTCATGTTATATAATGTCCATAAGTACATGCTGATTTTTTATTTCTTGCTTGACCTATGTTTACTTACAAAGTCTCTACTAAAGTTTCTTATTGTACCTTTTAAAATTACAGGAGAAAAAAATATGTGCCTTTTATAAATGAATTAATTCCATGAATATGTGATTGGCATTAGCTTTCTGTGCTTTAATGCAGTGAAATCTGTCATCATACTGTAGATTTACTTTTATAACCATCTATTGAATAAAAAACAACTTCTCTTTGGATAATATTGCTCAAGATTAATATTTATTTTTTTTTTCTGGAACTTGTACAAATTTTTTATGGCAAAAAATAATGTCACTTGAGAACCAGTTGAAGATATTATACATCTTATATTTTTTTTAATGTAAACATTGACATAGAACTTTGAAATGCTTTGTTGTTAAAATATTGTTTTAATGTGTTTAAATTAATTTTACCTAGCTGAATGCAATATCCACACATCTCCTTCTCCGGGAATTCAAGTAAGGCATGTCTACACTCCGTCTACAACAAAGCACTTCTCACCCATAAAGCAGTCAACTACTTTAACCAACAAACACAGAGGAAATGAGGTCTCAACCACACCTCTGTTAGCAAATTGTAAGTATTTCCCACTGCTGTATGAAAATATTGTTATTGCTATTGTAATAGTTTCAAGAATTTAGCTTTGAAACATTATTTTCATTAAATGCATATCCTGTTTTGGAAAGCTTAAGTAATATCCTGATAGTTTTAGTAATTTAAAACTTTAACATATTATTGCATATTCGAGTGTATCATGTTTTATGTTTCTCTGTTGAGAATGGATTGAAATTTTAATTCTTAAAACCTTTACAGTTTTACTATAAAAACTATAGTAAAAAAATGAATTATAGAAATATAAAAAGTGAGTTATTCTGAACTTTGGGCAAAGCAAGACATTGTGTTTTTGTGTTCTTGGAGTGGGTTTTACTGGTAAACTAGATCACTGATCAATAAATAATTTGTAGTAAAACTGAGTGATCTCTAATATAATTTTTAATCAGAATATAATATGAATATGAAACCACCTCTTTAAAAACTTTGAATTTACAATTTTTTAAATGTAGAGTTATTCTGAAAGAAATAAAATGAAGATTTTCTGTATAAATTAGAAAATACTCTATATAGGTCAGATTTCTTAATAAGAGAAAACCAGTCAGCAGTTTGATGTTAGGAACTGTATTTGAGAATATAAGGTAAATGTATCTATATTCTAAAGCGTGGTGAAATATGTCTTTACTTTGGAAACATTATATCCTTCCAGATTTTGAATCATATGCTGTGACAGGTAAGCCAGAAAGAATTCATGACTCTTAACTCCACCTCAGGCTGATTTTTTTTTTATTGACATTTATATAAATTTGCATGTGGCTCCCAATTGCTTTCCTTTCTGTATTAAGGCCACCCAGTCATATCACCTGAAGTCAAGGATCGAGTGATACTAATTTTAAAGTGAGTTATGATATAACTGTGCCTGTTTGGCTTTGTTTTAAAATAAAGAGATTACTTTAAAATATTCCAGCCATAGGTTGTTTTTTTTTAACCATTCTGAGAGGCTTAAGGGATCCTAGTTCCCCAACCAGGGATCAAACCCAGGCCCCTGCAGTTCGAGCACTGAGTCCTAACCACTGGACCACCAGCAAATTCCCCAAAACCATAGTTTCTGAGCTTAAAAAAAAACAGCTGGAGATCATGTGGTTCACATCCCTCATGATACAGACAAAAGTGTTTAATCAGCTCTCCAGGCTCACACAGCTAGTTGGCCAGAGCTAGATCTGCACTCCAGAATTTACTCTCAAGGCTAGGTTTTCATTTATTTCCTCAGTTCTCCTAAAGTTAAGAAATACCCATTATTTCA